GCAATAATTTATTTCCTTCCAAGTGGGTTTAACAGATGATAGATGACTCAGTCTGTTTTTTAAAAATGTCTAGACGTATGGCTTAGCTTGGTACCCAGGACCCTTTAAAATCTGACCCCCATACATCTCTCTAAACCAACTGTTTAAAACTGGAAGAGATTTTGTCCACCCCTCACCCCCTGCCCTGGGACATTTAGCAATTCTGGAGACATGTTTGTTTGTCACAACTGGAAGAGTGGGGGTTGCACAGGTATATAGTTGTTAGAGGCCAGGATGCTACTAAACATCCTACCATGCATAAGACAGCCACCCCAGACAAAGAATTATCCAGTCCAAAATGTTAATAGTGACATGGTTAACATACCCTGTTCTAAACTTATATCCAACAACTCTACCCCCAGTGTTGTAAATATCATCCATAAATGGACTTCTGCCATTCCACTGCATGCCTTTGCATCCATCCCACTACCTGGAAGGACCTTTCCACCACTTCTCTGCCAGGCAAATACCTATTGTTCAATACCCAATGTTAAATGTCATCTCTGATACAAAATAAAGTCCATAAACACTTTGTTTATCCTACTTATGTGGTACATATTACACTATATTGTAAAATATCCATTTTCATGTCCACGTCTTTTTTTATTCACTTATTCAAAAAATATTTATAGACCATCTGCTATGTACTGGATAATATGGAAGAGACTATGACTGGCTATAAGACACAATCCTTGATCTCAAGGAATTTGTAGCCTAGAAAGGAAGACACTCAAGTATGTAACACATATCTGATTATAGGGACATTTATAAAATTTATTGGAATAAGTATTGGGGACAGTTAGGAAGAGTTACTGGAAGAAGTCTGGGAGAGACAGAAAGGAAGACAGAAGGTAATGACAGAAAACACTACCAACATTTAATGAGTAGAGAGAAGAAGAAGGGTAAGTAAAGGAAACTAAAGTGCAAGCTCCCAGAGGATAAAGATTATGTATGTCTTGTTTACTGCTGAGTCCTCAGCACCTGGGACATAATAAGTACTTATGTATCCCTAGGAAAAAATAAGAGGAATGAATGAAAGTAAGATATGAAATGAATGAAAGCAGGTAAGTATAGCTGGAAAGATAGCTGGAGACTGAGAATAAGAAATGTGGCAAGAAAGATTTCAAAATATGTGGTCAGCAATATTCNAAAAATCTGGTAACATTAGCCAACAATGCTCAAATATTTAACAATGAAGAAATAAAATGAGAAAAGAAAGATGAGTCCAAGCATATATTACCTTATAAAACATTCGGTCACCAAAGCGTAACATCTCAGCAAAGGCATTGAGCCAGCAGTGCAAAAAGGCAAAAAAGGTAAGGAACAGAATCAGCACACCTAAAAATAAGATGAACAATATTAAGAGTCTTTCCAAATAGCTTCCATACCAAGCAGTCAATAATAGTCATCATTTGTTTAGCTGGGATCATTTTGTAAAATATAAGTTATTATTCTAGTTTACTCGTTCTACAGATGATACAGTTAATTATTGAAATTATTTGAAAGTTAATTATTTTAATTTTAAAAAGCAATAATTTATTTCCTTCCAAGTGGGTTTAACAGATGATAGATGACTCAGTCTGTTTTTT